CAGGCCGGACTCAAGCACAAAGACATGATGCTGAGACAGAATGAATCTCTCCCTGACCCTGATTTTACAATTGCACAACTTACAGTATTTGAGTGTACTGTAACATGCTATTCATTTGGAGTTTTATTTGACCTTTTTGGCCTTTGCAGTTGGACTGCAGTATTTTTGCAGTATCCAAGCGCTGAATAGCCTATATACAAACATTCAGTACTATTCAATATTCAGCACAATACTATTCTTGCAGTACATACAGTTTTGGCCTATACAATATATTCACCTTACTCAGTTGCAATTACTATACTTTTTTTACAGAATTGCAAAATTGTTTACTCAATACAATATACTTTTTTTTCTGTAATGTTCTGGATGCTGTGTTCTCCATTGTTCTCTGTAGTGTTTAATGAATGCTCTGTAGTGTTTATTTTATTGACTCATGTGTGTGTGATCTGAGAGCACTGTTTGATTTTGAGTGCAAGTGAAATGGTTTTGCAGAGATTGTTTGATATTGATGGAAGAGTCAGAGGTTTCGTGAATCAAGTTTGAGTATTTGGATTTGTGTTTAAGGTTTTGAGAAAATGAGTGATGGTTTCAAGAAATGTGTTTTCAATTCAGAAAAACTGTAATATTCCTTAGCCACGTCTTTCACTGAGCCAAGCAATGGGAAAGACTTGGCTCATGTCAATCTCCAACCCGATAGATGGCGCTTTAAGCACCGTCCTGTTCCACTCGCCTCATTTTCAGTCCGCGGAGGAATACAATCCCTGTGTTGAGTGACGCAGGAGAGCAGTGGACGATCGGAGCTGCACTTATGTGCAACAACTAAGACCAAGCGTCCCAAGTTTTAACAGAATACCACCATCTGCAAACAGATGAGCGTCTGAAATGCCCTTGCTTGCACTAATGTATTCGGTTACTACATCCTTAACTTTACTCTGTTCTCTGCGCATAATCGAGATCATCTGTCGGGAGTCGATATTTACTGCTCCAGTAACGGATTGATCCAAATTTCTCATTCACATTTTACGGCATGACATGTAGATAATCATCCGATACTTTGATGGGGCTCCGGAGGATCATGATGCCACCCAAGTTCCAGCTGCTGGCTGTTATGGCGTTTGGAGTGGCGATGCTGTTTATTGAGAACCAGATTCAGAAGCTGGAAGAGTCTCGGGCAAAGCTGGGTAAGACTGCGGTTGTGTCTCAAACATCAGAGAGCTGTTTACCCTAGAAAGCCTTTTTGGACATCATGCACGTTCGATTCTTAATATAATCGATTGGAACGCGCGTATGATGTACAGAAATGCTGTTTAGGTAGGCAGCTCATTAGGGTTTGAGACAGTCTGCTGCTGTTGTCTTCACAACACAACACAGTATGAATGAGAGTGAGTGCTAAAAGACGACCGAATTTGCATTACACGATCAACTTATTTGACGTAATAGTTCACTCACAAATGAAAATTTCATTCTGTAGTCCCCCTCATGTCATTCCAGACTTGTTTGACTCCTTATATGTTTCTTCAGTGAAGCACAACAAAGGAGAGATTTTGAAGAATGCTGTTGCTGTGCAGTGACAATGAATAGTAAGTGAAGATGACAAACCTCAAATGGATGCAGAATTACTAATGAAGTATAATTAAAGTAGTCCAGACTACTCATGCAGTATTATTTATGTCTTCTGAAGCCGTATGATAGGTTTGTGTGGTGTATAGACTGATTTTTTTACTTATAATCTTCACCTCCATTAAACCATAATAGAGTGCACTTTTTCAGTGTCCTTGGTTCTGAAAGTATTTTTCTCATTCTTTTTTTCTCATAGGGGTTTTTTAAAGTCATTGTTAAAGAGTTATATACCATCAACCAAACCAAGTAGCTACGTGGTAAATCACAATATTACAAACACTGATTTGAAGCAAAAACATATTTAAAAATTGGACAAAAGACAAAAGCACAAGACTGTGTACTGAACGGCTTTAATGAGGGAAGGAACTACATTCCCATGAAGCATTGTGATTGACAATCAAAACAATGGATTTTGATTTAAAGGGGTCATATGATGCGATTTCAAGTTTTCCTTTCTCTTTGGAGTGTTACAAGCTGTTCGTGCATAGGTAAGATCCCTAAAGTTGCAAAGACTAAAGTCTCAAACCCAAAGAGATATTCTTTATAAAAGTTAAGACTCGCCCCCACCCTCCTAAAACGCCTTGTTTAAACATGCCCCCACATGTCTACGTCACTGTGTGGGAAGATTTGCATAACACCGTCCTAGACATGTGCCGGTATTCGGTAATGCGATATATCACGGTAATGAGTATGCACGATATTGTTATCGTGGGCACTTCTAAATACCGTGAATAATTATATATTACAAATTATTCAGAATTTTGAATGCATTTTAAGAATACTTTTCCCATCAACTGGTCAAAATGCACAACACCGCTGTATGCTGCGTGAAAGACGCGTGTGCACTGACGTAAACAAGCGCGGACGAGAAGCGCATTGCGGAACATGTGAGAGACGCTCTGGATAAAGTGCACTTTCACTCTCTGACAGCAGATGGCGCTAAACTGCAGAAATAATAATAATAATAATAATTAATTTAAATGTATTGTTCGGTCACACTTTACATTAGGGCTTCATTAGTTAACATTAGTTAATTTATTAGTTAACATAAACTGCCAATGAAAAATTCTTCTGAACATTCATTAATCTTAGGTATTCCAATATTTAATAACAGGTTGTTAAAATCGAAAGTTGCAACTGTGTTATTTAATGAGCTAACATGAACTAAGACTTGTATTTTTGAAACAAAGATTAATAACTTCTGTAGCAAATGTAGCTATTGCTCATTGTGAATGTTAATGCATTAACTAAGCTTAACTAATGAGGTCTTATTGTAAAGTGATACCTATTGGTCTTTATAGTTATTTTGCACTTTAATCTGTGTAAAACTTTTAACTTTATGCATTTTTCTGTATTGCTTTATTGCATTTAAATGTTCAGTTATTTTTGTTATAAGAAAAAGTTATTAAACCTGTTATACTGTATTATGACAGCACTTTTTTTAAACTAAATTTCAATAGCGTGATAATACCGCATACCGTGATAAAAGCATTAGCAATTAATCGCAACATGTAAATTTGATACCGGCATATCCCTTCACCGCCCAAATGTATACGTAAAGAAAGAAGGCGTAACTTTGATTCTCGCTGTATTGTTGCCGTCGCCGCCATGTCGTGAAGACACTGTGTTTCGTTGTGAAAGCGAAACTACTTTGTTTGGCCTTCCAAAAGAGGGCACAACTACAAATCAGTGGTTAAGTAAAAATCGACACGTTTCAGAAAGGCGGGGCGTAGAGGAGCAACAATAATGTACAGTATGTGGAAAATTATTTGTTTTTTTTTAACCTTAAACCAAATACAAAAATAATGTTCTTTTTAGCAACGTCATATGACCCCTTTAAATGTGTTGATTATATATAGAGACAATACATTTGATGTTTTCAGAATATTCTCAGTCTTAGTGAATCGTTTGTTCACGAATTGTACATTGCTACTTCTCTTAAGAAAGAAAATCTTGCTTACTACTTAAGATTTTCAATGAATCATGATTTAAATTTCGTTCTGTCCCTCATATAATTTTTATCATCTGATTTCAGAAGACGTGGAATATAGTGCATGAGTCCTGAGGGCACCTTTTATACTTCTTAATGCATTCTGGTTGAGGCTTGACATCTTTATGCAAAATTCATGGTCATTGCTCAAAAAAGATATTCTTCAAAATGTATAACAACATGAGGGCGAGTAAATTGAGTTTTTATTTTTGGGTGAACTGTCCCTTTATATAACAAACTATAGAAAACAAACTAGCAATGTTATTGGCACAGATTGAATGAAGAGATACAGTAAGTCAGCACTAAGCAGGGTATTTAGTACATTTGATCAAACTCTTACACTGATCCGATTTTACTCACCAATCTGCTTTTGTTTATAATCAGCTTACACATTTATACTCATCATAGTGCTCAGTGTGTAAGGCAGGTAAGAGATTATTAGACAAATAATAGACTTCAGCTGAAGTGAAATCTATGAATGCTGACTGGTCTGCCAGCAGGTTTTGTCTTGCCCTTTCTTGTCTTGAGTTTATGAATGTTATAGAATTCTAAAGATTGCCTCTAGTTGATCCTGATTCCAGACTGAGTTTTTGACAGTTCAATATGGAGTCTACATATTTTGCATCATGACCATGCAGTCAAAGTTCCATCAACCTTATGCATTAACTTTGCAAAGCAAACGTGTGTTTGGTTGGCACCTGAGATGACCCACATTTGCCATTCTTTTGGTGTGACGGCTGATTATTAGAAAACACAGTGGAAGGCAAGTGAAAGCATGATTTGTAGCTTAAAATATATAGTAGTGTATTATGTGTGGATCATACCATTGTTTTTGTCTGAATATTTTAATATCCAAAATTTTGTTTGTGTCCTAAATGTTGCAAAAGTAATTCAGCTGTAAGCCACATACCTAGTGTTTTCACACACATCCTCCAATGACCCATGACAATTGTCTGCAGCCCAGGTGCATCCACGCTTTCGTGAAGCAGAACAGCTGAAATTTATTTGGTCCATTTATTTAGTCTGACACTGAAAAGATGGGTAGAAGTCGAGTTACAGGTCTGTGGAAATTATTGAACATTTAGAGTGGGAAACTTAATTTGGACTTTTCTTTAAGTGGGAAAAAATGCAGCTGCTGGAACCTACAAATGTATGCAGTTCCTAAGCCTGATTGGCTTCTGCTGTTGGTACATTTAATGTTATTGTTCATGACAGATATTGTGAATATTTGAATAAAGTAATATTAAATTTATCTGCTCCTGGTTTATGCTGTATGTTTTTCCAGAAAATGTACTTATTTATTTGAAATGTTTAATAAATATATATATGAAAAAATATAAATTCTTACTCTCTCTCTCTCTCTCTCTCTCTATATATATATATATATATATATATATATATATATATATATATATATATATATATATATATATATATATATATATATATATATATATATATATATATATATATATATATATATATATATATATATATATATATATATATATATAAATAATCCCGGAGGGTTGTGAACATCTGCATGCTTGCTTTTGTTATGGAATAATCTGATAATTTGCACTCAAAATAAATAATACACAAATATATAGGCCTAATGGAATCCCATCTAAGCAAATAGCATGAAAGTCAGCGTTTACATAGTGGCACCTTTAAAATAAATGAATAAACATGCCACTCTCCGTTACCAGTGCAAATGATGCTGTCATATTTAGCATTGAGCCCAGTTTTTGCATTATGGATGAGGAAATATTAATCAAATCCATGAAGTGGAGAGTTAATTAAATTGAAAGCAATGCTGCCATTCTAGCCCTGTGATGGACGTTTGTTGAGATTTAGGATGCCAGGGCTGACAGAGGAGTGAAATCTGATTTGCCCTGTGCAGGCTTTGAATTTATAGACTCTGCACTATGCTTATTAGGTTGTCTCACATGACATGGTTCATTAGAAGATGGAAAACCCTTAGCTTTGCCTCCCACTCCACTAAGTTACAAGCATCACTGTCAAGCTATAAATCTGGTGTTCAGCCACTGCCAACAGACCTCTTATTGGGTTTTTTACTTATGCCATAGATTATACAACATCAGTTTATTCTCATTCCATTACCAGCTGTGCAGCTCACAAAGAGAAAGAAGCAGAAGCCTGCGTGCAGCGTGACAAGAATAGCTCCGCTTTAAAGAGACCACGTTGCACGTCGTAAAATTCTCCTAATGTTGTTCTGTTGGCAAAGAGATGAAAGACTGACTATCTGAAATCAATTTGATGCCAATGATATGGAGCATAATCCCTTGGACATGCTGTGCAAATAGTTCACCAGATTGTTAGAAATGCATTTGGAGGCATGAAATAGCAGGCATGTTGTATAATATAGATAATATTGAAAGAAATGAATACTTTTGTTCAGTCGACATTTATAATGTTGCAAAAGATTAGTAGCCTATATAATAAATGCTGTTGTTTTCAACTTTCTATAAAAATGTTCATGGTTTTGACAAAAATATTAAGCAGCACAACTGTTTCCAGCATTGATAATAGTAAGAAATGCTTCTTGAG